AAGGTGCGCACCACCTGAGTGAATCCACCTTTGTATTGTTGTGTGCATGTCACTCTGGCTGCAACTATTTTAATCCACCGTCCCAAATCTGCTTCTATATCTGTGGTCGACTTTAAAAGGGCATTCGACACTTTTTCCTAATCCCCTGAACAATTGGTTCAAAATGATGCTAGCATTTAATTTTTACGTATTTTTTGAAAGCGTAAAATTAAAAATGTAAAATAACATTTAACCAAATAATAAAACTTATATTTTATTTACACGGTTTATTTAATAATTTAATTTTTATATTTTATTTATCAATAATTTGTTCATAATATAGTATTATAATAAAATTAAAAAATTATCTGTCGTATTTGATATAAAGGTTACAATTAACTTACTATAAAATAATTATATATAATAAATTAAACCCAAACAAACAAATTAAAATATCTATGTTTTATACACACTGAGTCAGCAGGTTGCAGTTTTCTGCATTATTGCATGAGAGATTAAATCATATCTTATTTGAATTTTAGAACGGATAATGGATTTGAATTTGAATTTGACAGCCAATATTAAGCGTTAGGCGGATCTATTTTTATTTTTTTATGAAACTTTCAAAACATGTAAGTCAGATCTATACAAATTAAAAGTCGTTCTTCTTTAACCGTTTAAAAAAAAGAAAACTATAATATAAAATAATTTAAGAAAAATTGAAAATTGAAATCAGATCTGATATATACATATTTTAAAAATTTAATTACTTATTCTTTTTTTGTATAATAAGTATGGTACATTTTACCGCATAATTAAATGTGCGGTGTATATGGTTAAAATCTTTGTAATTCAGTGCAGATCGAGTGTTAATTTCCTGCCATACAAGTGGTGACGCTGGTGACAAATATAATTTAATTCCAATCGCATTTCTCGGCAGTTTTTTGTTTGAAACAAACCGCTCTCGTTCAGCACCGATATATCGCCTGCTGATTTATTGAGTGCCGCGCCGCTTGTTTAGTTAATCACTGCCGCGAGAATGCATGCCCTTGCATTGATATAATTATAATGTGTTAGGCGGGCAGGCTCTCTTTTTAATGACCACTTGTTGCCTGACCTATGATTACGTTGCGCCTTTTAAACTGCATTTGCCCACGCCCAAGTACAACACACCATATAAACCCGCTCTCTCTCTCTCCTTGTGTCGCTCTCCCGCCGGTAATTTATGGTCATCTGATTAACAATTAAATTTTCCAAATAATTTCAATAATAATAGGCAAAAGACCTTACGATAAAATTTAAAGAAATCAAATATTGAAAATGATTTTTATTTAAAATATTTTAGAAAATAATGTTCAATACTTTCAAGAAATCTTCTCATTAATTTGTTCTTTCATTATTTATTTCATTTAAAGAAAAATATTAAATTTTATGAAATTTTTAATTTGATATGTAATGCTGCCGGATACTATTATTAGCTCCCTGGAGAAACTGTTAACCACCTACATCAATCAGTTTCATGCGCGCTAAATTTATTACACTAAAAGCATTATAGGTGATATCAAAACCTTTCTACCTTTCAGGGGTGACCTGTGACCTCATGCGCCGCGATTGTTTGCACAGGGAGCTCCATTAGGTCCCCTATACACATTTATGTGATGCCTCATGCGCGACCGAATTATTCCTATTCACTCCGGCGGCGCTGTTGGCCCCTCGCTCGCGGCCGCCGATATCTGTCGGAATATTAATAAAATCAAAAGGAGAGAGGCGCGCAGGTAAAGATCTCGTCCGTCCAGACCTGATTCTCTCTCTCTCACTGTAGCGGCCGGCCTGAAATTTTTTACGATCCGCTCACACAATTCATTTTATTAAAAGGTATATATGCGTGTATGTGCGGCGGGGTTGACTTTGTCTCTTAATTCTTGATATGATGTCCGTGGGTCGGGGAATGCGAGCCCTTTTGCTCCGCGGGCGGCCCTGGCAGTCACTTCTTCTTCTGTGTGTATCGAGAAAAAGGAGCCCCCGCTCGGGAAGAACCATCATTACCGTCAAACTGGGCTCTACCGTGAAAACAGTAATATGATAGAGTGAAATGGCCAGATTTCAATTATTTTTAAGTTGTACCAGTTTTCCAAATAAATTAACTTAACATAAAATATTTAATAGTTAAATGTATTAAAAATAATAAAATAAGAAATTAGTATTTATGTACATATTATATTTTTGTTTGTTTTATGTTAATATTAAAATAATTTTAATTTAAAATTTTTGCAATCAATTATTTTTACAAAGATGATCTGAGATTAAAATATAGTTAAAATCTTGACAAATTTTAACAAAATTCAAGTTGCTGAGGTTAAAAATGTATAAATAATATTTAGAAAATATCAAATAATCAAGTGTAGATATAATTACACAATAAATTGTCTGACAAAGTTATTTTCTTGATTATTTATTAGTATTACAATAAAAATATATCACAAATAAATGGACTATTTATCGCCAAAACTAACTTGAGATAAAATAAACAAGTGTTTTATAATTAAGAATTCTATTATGTACCAATTTTTTCTAGAAGTTAATTAGAAAACACGGGTTTTTAATTTACAGTAAATTATGTAGCTATTTTTGATAAACAGGTATAAATTGGTGATTGGTGTATTAATTTTACTGGCTCTAGTATGACATGCAAGCTTCTCTTGAAAATTCTAATCTTTTAGTCAACTCAAATTAATCTATTGTAAGAAGAAGTTGATTTTTTTTTAATAAAATTTATTGTTTTTTTATTCTTAATTTATGCCAAAATATTGATCAGCTCAAACCGTTTCCTACGGTAGCCGTGCAGCTGAGCTGGGCTGGATGGTGGCTCGAGTGCCGGCATCTGCACTCAACATCCCCGCCAGCTTGTCTGCGTCAGTGTCCCCGCTGCGCTGATGGCCAAACGCGAGGCTGGCTCACTTTTTTCAAAGCAGCACCTCGGCTCTCGTTCGCTCGCTAACTCGCTACGGGTTTTATTCTGAGGCTCAAAACCTCCGGATGGGAATTGTTACGTCATCGTTCGTTTTTCAAACCACCTCGCAGGTATAGAGAGAGAAGAGAACAGAAAGAAAGGTGGTCATTGTGGAGGAGCGCAGCAGCGCTGCTGCTCTTTTCTTCGCTGCGCCCCCGAAGATATGCATCGAGCGCAGGCCATGATGCTGCTGAATGAATGAAATTTGATATTTGGTCCTAAATGAGCAAGCCGAGGAATGAAAAGGCGCGGTGATTGAAAATTATAGGCAAGGGCCTGACCAGCGATGCGCCTCTCCACTGCATTGTGTTTGGCCAGGGTGATTTGGTGGAATGCACCTGGAATGCGTGGAGCGCGCTTCCTCCCGCCGTATTTGCTTTTGGGCACGACCCACGGAAAGAGACTTCAATGACCGAAGCAGCTGGAGTAGTCAATGAGATCATGAAAGTGCTGCGAGGGCCGAATTAATTCAGACGAAAAAGACGATCAAATTTTAAAATTAGTATTGAAATTTTCAAAATTTCATAATGACTTAAGTATAGTAAATACTAATTTGGAAAGTATATTAAAAAAATTAAAGAATAATTTAGGAGGTAAAAAAAATGTTTCAAATCATAACATAATAATAATTTCCTACACATATCATTCATGCGTTAAAAAAAATTGCACACTTTAATTTCAACTAACTGTATTAAAAATTATGTGATAATTTTTCTTAACTCTTAAAGACCTTTTGGCACTGCTCGCATATAATTTATTAACACATGTGCTAGCAGTCAATAAATTAATTTGAAAATCACAGCCGGGATTTTTAGCCGGGCTCAAGCATTCAAATAGATTCTCTTAATGATAATTGTTGCGCGACACGCGATCCCCGAGCCGACGAGCGCCCAATTACATGCATCCTCACTCGCTCACACACGTGTTCGAGCGTTTGGAGAGATATACGAGAAAAAAAACGTACACACATCAAACTAAACGGCTATTAAATAATTTCTCACGTCACGAAATCCAAGTCAAACCGCGAACGAGCATTAATTCCAATGCGCGCGGACGAGTCATTAGTCTCCGCGCGCGGCGAAATTAAAGCTGGAAAACGTTTTGCTGCCTTGCACCGAAGGGCGATATAATATATAAGTACTTTTGTACACGGTGAAAATAAAGCATGCTCGCCCGCGGATAATAAATCTCTCGGCGCAGGGAAAAGATGCCAAAAACAATTACCGGCCGCGGTGCGAGAGCGCTGCTGCAAATAAGCTGCCGCCGAAGTAACCAAAACAAATTAGCATGGCGCGGAGCTGCTGCTTCGTAAATTTAAATCCGCTAAATGAACACATACGTATTATTTAATTCAGCAGAGTGCGCACCGCCGCCGCCGTCGAGAGAGTTATATAAATTTAAACATCAACTTGCGAAACGTACGAATGTAAATTTATTTGTGTATACCTGGTGCTGCTGCCGGTGCCCGCGCGCTCTCTGCCATTTAAATACAATTGGCTGTGTAAAGAGATGTACACGTTTGTGCGCGTGCTCTTTTCGCTGATCCCGCAGGAAAGACTGGTTGCTCTTTGAAGTGCGGATTGCCCGCGAGAGAAGAAGCTGCGCGATATAATTCACCCTCGCACTCTGCCCGTGACTGGAACAATGTTAATCGCAAGTCTGCAGTGATGCTCCTATAATAATGACTACTGCTGAACTCTTTTAATACGCAACTGATGAGGGACTTCGCTGACACTTATTATACAAATCACACTCTTCATATCTTTTTATCTATTAAATCAAAAATATTTAATTACTATTATTATATTATGAATAGATTATATTATATTTTTTTTCTTAGACTAATACTTTTTTATAATCTTCAAAAACTATATAATTTAATATGAATTTAATGTCAGTGTTCATTTATTAAAGTAAATTTTCATTTTAAAAAATTTTTCATTTCATAAAAATAAAAAAAAATAAATTCGATTTTGGTTTTGGAAGAGAAAAGTAAACAATTTTTTTTTGCTAATTAATTATAAATATATTGTTCATCTAATCATCCATTTACATATGAATACACTCAATGTAACACAATTTACAAGGTCACACAAAAATCATTAGCGGAAAGATGCATAATTAATTATCGTTCACATTTCTATTTTTTGTTCAATTAAATTTCTCAAAAGTTGAGCATAACACAACAAATAATGATCAACTAAATGGAATCACGAGAATTTTTAAATTGTGCAATAAGGATTGAAATAGATTTGACAATAAATCGTGATTCTTCTCTTTTTTTTTTGTATCCATTCACATTTTCTCGAAAGCAAAAGACTAGAGTTTCTTTCTTTTTGCATCAATAGCTATCGGCGTGTATAGCCATAAAATAAAAGCATCGCGTAAATCTCGCTGGGGAAAATGAGTAGGAAAAAAATATGATCGCGCGCTGTGATGGAAATATGGGAGAAATGAAGTGGCTGCGGCTGCCGAAATGAACAACAATCTGTATGAAATGAATATAACCGCCGGGGCCGTGCAGAAAAAGAAATTGAAGCAGTTAAGTGCGCAATTTATGTGGCGATCGGGCCGAAAACAAGAAGGCTTGCTTGAAATTGGTACTGAAAGAATTTTCCTAGCGAGAGAGTGAGTGTCTGTGCGCGATAAATAAAAGTGCTCTTCATACAAAGGCCCCTTTGAGAAGCAAAATGTACGCGGGTTCAAAGAACTTTCGTTGGCTACCGCGCACGGTATAGGTAAATAAGGTAAAAAATAGCGAAAAAGAGCAATGAAGAAAAAGGAACGGCGCGCCGTTCTGGGGGCAAAAAAGAAGAAAGAGAGGCCGTGAGAAGGAGGTGCGCGTGGTGTTAATAATACATAATTATATATTAATTAATTTCACGGGGGGTTGGGTTTGTTGGTTGATTGATTTTTGGTTATCACAATTGGTTGTGATGTACTCACTTGTAATCCACCCAGAGTGACATTTAATTACAACAATAGTTAAAGTCACGCACATCAACATTTTTTGTTTTAACTAATTAAATTTCCTATACACACTTTCGAAGTTTATATTCCTCTCTGTTTTTGTAAAATATGTCTCAATATCACAATCTTCCGCGTTGCCGGGCACACGAGTCTTTGATGAAAAAAAATCTGCGCGTTCGCAAAAGTTCAGCAAAATAAATTAATAGTCACTAATTATTTTTTGCACTCGATCACGTCGACTTGTACATGGACTCGCACTTGACGATCTGTTCGTGCACCCGGGCAATGCGTTTGTTCAAAATTTTCACATTCTTCTCGGGCAGGGAGGGCAGAATGTCCACGAACTCGGGGTCGGAACTTTTGAACGCGCTTCGCAACAGTTCACCAACATTGTTCTGTTTATAGAGGCGCTTGATGGCGTCGGCCGTCGACCGCCGGAAGATGCACACCGCGTTCAGGATGGACTTGTGGTAATGTTCGTACTTGTCCAGCAGTCGGTAGCCGTGCAGCAGGCCACTCTCGTTGTCCAGGAAGAGCAGCAGCCCCGTGGACGCGTCCTTGGCCAGGTTGTGCGCCGGCGCGTCCATCATGGTCGGATTCCACTGCAAATTGTACATGTTGTTGATCATGCGGTCCATGTTGGCGGTGAGGTAGTCGAAGACCACCAGGTCGGACCACTGCGCCAACTCAGACGCGTCCACGTCCGGGGTGTCCTGGACGTCCGGCGGGTGCAGCCGCCGGTCGTACGGCCGCAGGAAGGTGGGGATGTAGGCGGACAGCAGGAGGGGCACAAACTTGGTCATGACCACGGCCTTCTCCTCGGTGGCCCACTGGGCCAGACTCACCTGGGCCTTGACCGAGGCCCACTGTCGCGACTGCGGCTTCACCCTGGACAGGGTGGTCGGCGTCAGGTTGGGCAGCCCCAGGATGTACCTGCCCAGGTAGAAGCCGAAGATCTCGCCCTGGATCTGGTCGACGTTCTGCCGGTACCTGCAGCAGGACGTGGAGCCGTTGTCGAAGGTCACCAGCCGGTTCTGCATGCGGCCGCAACCCTCCTCCATCTTGATGACGCGCGCCTTCCGGACAAACTTTCGCCACTCGGAGGCCGAGGTGGAGTCGTAGCCCTGCGGCAGGGCCATCTCGACGGTGTCGCTCCAGTAGACACCGTTCGCGATCAGTGACGAGTTGACCGCGGTTGACTCCGCAGACGGCTGAGCGGCCACGGGCGGCTGCTGCACGGCCGGGACGAAGGACACGGTGTCGAAGACTGTCCGGTCGAGCACCACCGGAGGAACTACTGTGCTGCTGGAGGAGCGGTTGAGGGGCCTGCTGCCGGCGGCGTGCAGAAGGGCCGAGGCGGCCGACGGCGGCAGCAGGTACATGGGGATCATGAGACCGATGATGATGCCCATGACGAAGGCCGAGGTGGCCGTGCAGATGCACACGAGACGGAAGTAGCGCGGCCGGTTCGAGGCGACCAGTTTGTGTTGCAGCTCGGCGTACCACGACGGTAGCACGCCAGACGCGCACATCCTATGCAAATTGCTCCGAATCAGGTGGGCAGCGCCGGTGTGCTTGTGTCTTTTGCCTCCATCGTACATGGCCGCACCACTACATGATCCGCGTCGGACACTCGCGGGACGCGCCACTCGGCTTTGCTCTGCTCGCTGCGAACGATCGGTGTCAACTGGCCGTCTCTCTCTGCGCCTTCCCACCTGGAATTTTTTCGGCTCGAGCCCCACCACCGTTGACTGCTCTTTGTGCTGCGTTAGTTGGCCGGCCGGCCGCCGGTACCTGAGTGGCGTTCCAAAGGTAGCCCCTGCCGGCTCTACCACCGCCGCCGCCGCTGCTTTCAATATCGCGTTTTTTTTATCCAAAAGCGAGGAGCGAGCGTCGTGCAAGTACAGCACAAGAAGAAGGTACCACGATTGGTTGCCAACTTTTGTGGTTTTGCTCCCACCAATATTGTATGAAGATAATTTCTTGTCTCTCTCGCTGCTGCTTGGTCGCTCCGTGTCCGGTGTACAGCTATTCGGCTGCCTTCTCTCTCTCTCCTGCTTGCCTGCTTGCTCGTGTTGTTTTTATGCCGATGTAAAAAAACTCGATGTCATCTTAACGTCAGCCGTATCTTGTAAATCTGAAACAAAAATTTTTTATTAGAACCCCGTTGTTTGATTTTGATAGTTGATATTCTTGTGTGCACGACGTATGCGGAGGAAGGTGCGGTCGCGATAATTCCCTTCGTGCTCAAGCACCAAATTTTTCATGCAAATTTGCAGCACCACATTGGCCATGTTTAACAAATATTTTTAGCCTCTCAACTCAAATATAGTTTGATTCAAGATTTAAATTTAAATAATTCGATAATTTAATAATTGCATTTTACACATAATTCTAGACTAGAATTTCTAGTTGTATTAATTTTCCAAATAAAAAGTAAGAAAATTAATATTTTAATGTCTACAAAATTTTTTGGTTATTAAAAAAAAAATAAAATTAATTAATGAAAAAGGGTTTGAAGTTGCTCAAAATAAATATACAGAGCCTTTTTCTATATGAAGATATCTCACTGCTAGCCGTTTGAAAAATAATCCAGCCGCGAGTGTGCTGTGCATCTCATTGTCCGCGGCACACTCGCACAGCATCAGGAGCAATGTTTTATTGTCTTTGATTTAATCTCAATCTGCTGCTTCTGTGAAACCTCCAGCAACTGGAATAACTCAAACCGCTGTGCTTGGTGCGACCGCGTGTTCCTCCATACGACTTTAAAGAAGCTGCATGCACTTGAAATAGCCCGACGACGACGAAATTCCCCGAGCTCAAAATAAATATTTTTCCTCTCATTGTGTGCTGCTGGCCGGTGGCTCCAAATCCTCTCGGCCGCTTCACAGTATTTAAGTGAAAAATATCTCAATTGTATTCTTTGTCCAATTGAATAAGATGATTATGCACAAAATTATTTGTTTTCCGGGCTCCGTCTCGGTATTAGTGTCAAAAATCCTCTTGGATTTATCCTCCAAAAGCCAAATTTATATTTATATTTGCCGCATCCGTCCGCCCACCAACGAACTTATCATGTGCATATGTGCGCAAGAGGTGTTTTAAGAGTTAATCTCATTGTCGGTAAACAAGAAGTCACCGCGTCTCTCTCGTATATTATAAGCAGCCGCCGCGGGGACATTTAAATATTAAACACAAAGTCGCGCAGGAAGTGACGCAACCTTACCTACCGCACGCACATCTCACATAATCTGCTCTTTGTATCCCGAGAAAAGGGAAAAATGTGAAAAATGCTGTCGCCCTAGCGAGCTCGGTTAGCTCGATTTATGTTCAAAGCGCGAGCGGCACAGCAGTCACCTGGCCCGCAAAGGATCGAAACGCCGCTCGCTCTATTCAAGCGCAACACACAAAATCTCCTGTGTGACTCGTGCAGAGGCGGACAAATAAATGAATTACGGGTCCGTGACATTTTCTATGAAATTCTGCCACACGGAATCAGCCGCGCGCTTTTTAACTCGCAGGTCGTCAGGGTCGTTTAATCGGCAGAATGAATTCCATTCCGGCCCATGGGGGAAACATAATAGAGCGCGAGGAGATTCTTGTGAAAAAAGTAGCAGCAGCAGCAGCACCACGGCACACCAGTCAATAAATATTCTAGCGGCGAGGAATCCGAATAATTCTGTTCTAATGAAACCCTAATTGCTTCTACAAGCACTCAAGTCTTTTATGTTATTTAATATTTGAACAGGCTTTTTCTTCTTCTCTTTTTCAGACGAATTCCACGCGCTTTCTCTCGGCCCGCCATTCATGCGAAACGCTAATTAGCCTGGCTAATTATCTCGGAGGTATGCAACCGGCAGAGCACACATGCGTCGTTCGCTAGAATTGGCAGGGTGGTCTAGTTTTTGTTCCAGTGCTCGCTGTTTCCCATAAAGCTGAGAGGAAAAAACTGACCGCTGCGGAGAGACAATATTAAAATGCGTGTGCTGAGGAGCAGCAAAATAAAAATGTGGTCAACAATGCGCGCTGGTGGCCCTGCTCTCAGGAGAGCGGAAAGAATGGGCATTCCCTCCTTTTGGCCGATGCTGCTTGGGAAAGTTTGCATTTCAAAGAAAAAAGGATTTTTCGTTGTAAGAGGCTTTTATTTTGGCCGTCAGGTATGTAACGAATGCCACAGGGGGTGGTTGTAATGTGAGAGTCGCTCAGTTACTCCTTTCTTTCCTTTTTATACACAATTTGTTTTTGACGTTTACGTTCAAAAGAGCATCCTTCTGGAAACTCATTTTTACTTGAGCCGCGTGAGAAACCGCGCGTTTGCGAAAGTAGTGTTGTTTATCGGTGGGTGCATTGAGAAAAAAAACACTACCTGAGATGCTGTTTTGGTCTCTGCTATTTTTGAAAAGCAACATGGCAAAAACTGTAAATTTCGAGATACATTTCAGACAGCTACTTTTCTGTTCTTTTTGAAATAATTTTTGATTTTCTTTCTTCATGATTCACAAATTTCTGTTCCTATATTGTTTTTTCTTCTTCTATAAGTGAAAAAAATTGTAAATTGCATTGCAAACTACTACATAACAGGATCAATAAAGCCTGCATGGATTACCATCATGACAGGGCCCCAACGTATGCTTAATACATTATGGAAGGGATATGGACTATTATTCATTATTTGGCTAGGTTCAATCCATCATGTTCTGAGAAATAGATCATGACAAATTGACCCAAAATAAGATTGTCATTACACAAGATTTAAAATTTATTAGAGAACTTTTAGCAGTACATAAATTCTGAAACTAACAGAGTAGAAAAAGCAAACAGCATTTAATGAAAATAATGGCAATAACATTAAATTATTAAAAAATATATTTAAATTATAATCAAAATAAAAGAATAAAAATTGCAATAAAGTCTTTAAAAAGTAATAATACAATTATTTAATTTTGACAAACTTTTTTATGCTCTTTTTAAATTAATTTTTGAAGCACATCATATTTTTCTAGTTAATGAATGCAAGCTTTTCACTTTTTATATTATTGTTGGCTTTACAAATAATTTCCACCTTCCCAACATACTCCAATTTACAACCCACAATAAAACTCCATAAAGCATTAACCACAAAACATCAAGCGCGTTGAGCCACAGGTATAAAAATATACTCCACAGACACAAGACAGGGTGAATCACTTTATTGCTCCTCTTGAGAGCACCATGAGCTCACCTAAGCTTGTTTTCCCCGAGAGAGCCGCGAAGGTTGGCCCCTTTTGGCTATGCCACGGTTATAGGGACACTGGGAGTCTTATGTGAGCAAAAGCTAAGGTGGAATGTGCGGAATGTTGCGCACAGTAGGAACCTTCTCAGACTTCATAAGTATAAAAAAACGCGTCTCTCTCATGATGGGTATTATAGTTGTATATTTTTATAATTCAGATTGATAACTATTTAATTGTTGCAATCATATGTTTCTTTATATTCTAAAATAACAAAAATAGAACTTTTTTTTTAACAAATGATCAAAAGATTGTTGGAAGTTATAAATTAACGAGACCAGACTGGATATAAGCATAAAAAATGAATGCAAATTGAAATATACTTTAAAATACTAAATTTTTAACAAAAATATTGCCAAAATTACATTGACAATTTTTATTTTTCTGTATGTGATATGGGCTTTGAAATGATTTAAATTAGTATACATATAAATTAAATAATTTACTGACTTTTAAGGTTTTAAGAAACTTTTCAAACACAAGTTCGTAAGTTTCTTGCAGCCGCAGACATGTGCGCCGGCACCGTATCAAGAAAAGAGAGAACCCTATCCTTATAGCAAATTAATACAGGCCTAGGGCATTTTAAATAACTGTGCTGCACGCGGCGGCCGGCTGCTGAGCAGCACACACGGTCTATTCACTCATGATATTGGACCAGATCTCTATGAAATGCCTATTCTTGCATTATTTAAATACCAAGCGCCCTTTTTTGTAAGGCCGGCGTGTATCGCTCTCACATTAATAAACAGACGTCAATAGAATTCGGAGACGCATAAATAGACGCGGGCATTTAAATCTCCACACAGATGCATCTCTCTGTTCCGAATGATACTGCACTTCTAAAAATGCAGCGAGGGACAGGAAGCCGCGAGCTGCAGCTGGAAAGTTTTCCCAAAATGATTTTTCATCGCGCAAAGGCGCATGAATGGCGCAGAATCATCCTCTCCTTGGATAAAGGAAATTCCTCGGATTTTTCTCGTCTAGCGGGGGATGAAAAAATAACACACCCCTTGTGTTTTCTCACCTGGGAGAACGTGCGCTTCTCTCTTATTATCTGTGTATCTCGGAGGTGTTATTCTTGAATGAGTGCGCGCGGCTCTTAAAGAAATCCGGCGCGGATAAAATATATACGTGTGATGCTGTTTGTGTCGGTGTCGTTTATAGTATTACACAAGCTTTGCACACTTTTCACAATGAAATATTTTCTTTCCTAATATTCCACCGCCATATAGTATGAGAAGTGACCTTTATGCTTTTGAAAAAGCGTCTCGCTCTGGTGTATTAAGAGTGATAGATAAATGGCTTCCTCCCGTTCCGTTTCTTTTCAAGCAGAAAAGCTCCTCTCTCGCTCGCTTGCCTTTTCAAAAATTCACAAAAGCCGGTTTAAATAGGCGTGTTTTTCTTTAATTTCTTTAAACTGGAATGAGGCTCGGCTCGGCGGCGGCTGTGTTTGTGCGCGTAAATGCTGCTGATTATTTTGATAATGCGCTTGAGAAAAATTTGGCTTCTTGAATTGAAGGACAGCGCAGTAGCGGCTTGTTTGACAATTAAGCGTCTCTCGCAAACGCTCATGGTAATGACGATTCTTTGCATATTTGAGTGGCGGGTATGAGACATTCTTCAGCGATAAAAGCTGGCAAGAGTGCGTTGGCTTGTATGCACCGCCGTCTCTTTAACGTCAACCAAATTCAAATTTGAAAACTGGCACAAGAACAATTTAATAAACATTATTTATTAAATTTGTATAACAAAATTATTATTTTTTGATTTATTCAATAAAAAAATTAAATATTACTTAATATTTTTACAAATTTAATAAAATTCAATATTTTTTATTATTTTTGTACTTAAAATTATTGTATTATGT